GAGGGAAAATTTTTTCTTCACCTACAAAAGAAAGGGCTAAGTGTTAGCCCATGAAACTTTATCGGGTCAACTCTGTAGAGCTACTGGGTGCACTCTGCACCCATCGGGGTATTTGGTGTCAGAAGGGTAATACTGCTGGGCTAGTATGTCTGAGGTGGAGACATTCCTGCACAGATAAAGAAAACAAAACCCACAGGAATCTGTGTCTAGACAAGCCCGGGAATATGGCTCTAAGCCACTTTTCTGCTAAAATCCAGAGCAGAAGGGGACAGATTCAGATTTATTCTAGTGTCCATAAACTTGCTCTGTGACAGGGACAGATTGACTCAGTACTGATTCTAACACTGGCTTAACTGCTAGTCTGGCACACACAGGTGACCGTGATGCCACACACAAGGTACAATCGAGGAAGCTCCAAAGATGCTGCCGTCTGCCCACACCTGGGCTCCCAGGAGCACAGCGCAGCGGGTCAGCAAGGAAGATGACAGCAGGAGGGAGGGCAGGGCAGGGGAGCGTGTGCCCCAGGTCCTGAAGCTCCAAGTTTGTTTGGGTTTTGAGCAACAAGACAAGGAGAGAGAAGGTGGGCTAGGCCCTGGCATCTCAGATAGCAGAGGCGGCTCCCAGTACCCCACCCAGAAAGGCAGGGTGGCCTGGAGGGGAGGTGAAAGAGGAGATGACTCTGCCCCACTCATCCTGCCCAGCCACCACCTCTGAGGTTCTCCCACTTTCCTCTGATCCCGGCCCCTTCCTGACCAGTGTACGCTCAAATAGTGCACGCTCACAGTGCACGCCCACATAGTGAACGCTCACAAAGTGCATGCCCACATAGCGTATGCTCAAATAGTGCACGCTCACAGTGCACGCCCACAGTGTACGCTCACATAGTGTACGCTCAGAGTGCACGCTCACAAAGTGCATGCCCACATAGTGTACGCTCAAATAGTGCACGCTCACAAAGTGCATGCCCACATAGTGTACGCTCACATAGTGCACGCCCAGTGTACACTCGAATAGTGCACGCTCACAGTGCACGCCCACATAGTGAACGCTCATAGTGCATGCTCACAGCGCACGTTCACAAAGTGCATGTCCACATAGTGTATGCTCAAATAGTGCATGCTCACAGTGCACGCCCACAGTGTACACTCACATAGTGTACGCTCAGAGTGCATGCCCACATAGTGTACACTCACATAGTGCATGCTCACATAGTGCACGCTCAGTGCACGCTCATAGTGTACGCTCACATAGTGCACGCCCACATACTGCACGCTCAGTGTACGCTCATAGTGCACGCTCACATAGTGCACGCCCACATACTGCACGCTCAGTGTATGCTCACATAGTGCACGCCCACATACTGCACGCTCAGTGTACGCTCACATAGTGCACGCCCACATAGTGCATGCTCAGTGTACACTCACAGTGTATGCTCAGAGTGCACGCTCAGAGTGCACGCCCACATAGTGTACGCTCACATAGTGCACGCCCACATACTGCACGCTCACTGTACGCTCACATAGTGCACGCCCACATAGTGCATGCTCAGCCTACACTCAGTGTACGCTCAGAGTGCACGCCCATAGTGCACACTCGGTGCATGCCCACATAGTGTACACTCACATAGTGCATGCTCACATAGTGCACGCTCACATAGTGCACGCCCACATACTGCACGCTCAGTGTACGCTCACATAGTGTACGCTCACATACTGCACGCCCACATACTGCACGCTCAGTGTACGCTCACATAGTGCACGCCCACATACTGCACGCTCAGTGTACGCTCACATAGTGCACGCCCACATAGTGCATGCTCAGTGTACACTCCGTGTACGCTCAGAGTGCACACTCAGAGTGCACGTCCACATAGTGTACGCTCACATAGTGCACGCCCACATACTGCACGCTCACTGTACGCTCACATAGTGCACGCCCACATAGTGCGTGCTCAGCCTACACTCACAGTGTACGCTCAGAGTGCACGCTCATAGTGCACTCAGTGCATGCCCACATAGTGTACACTCACATAGTGCATGCTCACATAGTGCACGCTCATAGTGTACGCTCACATAGTGCACGCTCACAGTGCACGCTCACATACTGTATGCTCACATACTGCACACTCACATAGTGTACACCCACATAGCGCACGCTCACATTTGCCTTGCCTCCACGCCACCACCTTCCACCTCACCCTCTTAGCCTCTATCTACGGGAGGTACGCCCCTCACCCCCAGAGAGCAGGGTCCCACTGAAGGCCATGGCCCCAAGAGACCTGCTTGAAACAGGCTGTCATGACCCCCACAGCCACCCTGCGCGACACCGCCCTCACAGGCCCAGGGAAGGCTGCATCTTGAGCTCCCCGCCCTAGACAGAGACACATCAGGCCTGGAGCAGCTCCCAATCCCTCCACCCGGCCAGGCCTCCCCAGCTCCCGGGTCCCCGACGCCCCTGCTCGCTGCCCCCGCCCGGGCGCACCTTGAGGTCGTCGGCCGCGTCCTGCAGCGGCCGCACGCGGTGCGCCCAGTGCTCCCCCGAGCGCTCGCAGGCCGCGCACAGCAGGCGCAGCTCGTCCCCGCAGAAGGCGGCCAGGGGCTCGCGGTGCGCGGGACACACGCCCTGCGGGACGGGCGACGGCGGGTGCAGGCGCCGCGCCATCTCGGCCATCTTGGCGAGCGGGCGGTTGGGCCGCAGGTTCCTCTGCGGGGACAGCTCGCGGCACTCGGGGCACGCGTACGGGCCCTCGGGCTGGCCCCAGCAGCGCCGGATGCACTCGCGGCAGAAGTTGTGACCGCAGTCGGTCATCACCGGGTCAGTGAAGTAGTCGAGGCAGATGGCGCAGGTTGCCTCCTCCTGGAGGTTAGTGGACAGGTCCGGGGCGGCCATGGCGCGGGCCGAGCGGAGGAACGCGGTACTGTCCGCGGGGCGGCGGCGGGGAGACGCGGGAGGTCGCAGGGACGCGGGGGATCCGGCCGCGGTGGCGCCGGCGCGGGCACTCCGGGGCGGGGCTCAGACTCGCGGGCGCTCGGGCTCCGAGGCGCGGGGACTCCGGGGCGCAGGATACTGGGCTTGGGAAGCGCTGGGCGCGGAGGCTCCGGGCGCTCGGGGGACGCGGGACGTAGGGCCCCCGGATGCCGGCAGGAAGAGGAGCGGGAGCCGAGGCGGAAGCAGGAAGCGACTGGGTGGTTTTTTTTTTTTTTTTTTTTTTTTTTTTGGAAGAACGCGCTTTTGCCTCCGATTGGCCGCTGCCCGTCACGCGACCCGCGGGCGGGACGGAATTGGAGAGCATTCACTCACTGACCCGGCGTCCCCGCCGCTCCAGTTGGTGTGGCGTAGTCTTTACCCTGGCCCTCGGGAGGAATGAAGCACACGGGAGGGATGGGGGCAGGGACGGATGAGGGCAGGGGGCGGGGCGCAGGGGAGGGA